TCTGCTGGGTTTGGCAGTGCTGACATTGGGCAAATTAGTTAACTTCTCTGAGCTTCAGGTTCCTATGCTATGAAACAAAATAATTAAACTAGATGAAAAGTTTTTAACTGGGGTTTACAGACTCCCAGTATGGCCACATATAGATTACCAGGTCTGTGAACTTGGACAGAAAAAATACACTTTTATTTTCACTAGCCTCTAACTTAAATTTAGCACTTTATTTAGTCATTTAAAAACATTCTAAGAAAGCATACATATACTTCAGCAAACTACTAAATGGGTCCATGACACGTAAAAATGGTTAAGAACCCCAGAACAAATGATCTTAGTAATCTCTTCCATTTCTGTCATTCTATGACTCTACATATGTCTACTTTGATATATAGACCTATATTGTAAGTTAACAGAATAGACATAATATGAATAAGTGTGTGTCTTTGGTGGTCTACACTGCCCTCCCCATTTAACAAGTTAATACTTAAGAGACCAGGGCCAAGGTTAAGTCAACCTGGATTAGAGGAAGACTAGGCAATTCCAAAAAGCTCTCCAGTTGTTAACTTGGGGAAATTTCTTCCATCTTCTCTCCTTTCTCTGACCCAACACCATTTACATAAATGTATTGCACTCGCTATTGTTAGCTTTCCAATTAATTCACAGGAGTGACAGTAGAGGTCACTGGGGAGAAAGGTAAGATTAACAAGAGTCTCTTGAGACTCAAACAGGATTTGAACAAATCCTTAGAGGTGAGCAGCTCTGGGATTGATCTCTAATATTTGAATGTATTGATTTTTGTTTGGTGCAGACATTTTAAACAAGGTGACCTAAGATGACCTTCTTATTCCCATCTACGATGAGGGATCAAAACAGCAGATTTTATGTTGGACAGTAGTCACAGCCCTTGTGATGCATTCAGCATTTTCTCAAAAGGGAAGATAAGAGATGGAAAACTCTATTTTCTTTTAAAATGTTTATATTATTTTTTTGTTTCCTTTATTTTACCTTGTATTAGTTTCTAAATATATCCCTCCCTATTCTCTTGCCCAGAGAGCCATCCTTTGTAACAAATAAAGAGAAAACAAAACAGGGAAAAATTTATTCTCTATTGTTTTATTCAGAAGTAAGAAAATAGGAAGGGCTGAGGCTGTTTCACTTTTTAGACTTGATCATCCACCTTTTAACAAAAGGATCCCTCATATTTGGGTCAAACATCAGCATTTGTGAATTTTCTGTGATACTCAATAAAGGTGCTTAAAAAGGTTTTTAGGAAACAGACATAATTTGCTTTGATATTTGTTTAGGGAACATAAAAACTTAAGTTGTCCTTTTTCATTTTATTGCCCTATGCCTTTTTGAAGTTATATGTGTTTGTGTGTGTGTGTGTGTGTATATACACATGTACATATGTACTTACTCCCCAGATGTGTATATATATTTATATATCTATATCTATATCCATATCGATTTATCCCTCTCTCTGTCTCTCTGTCTCTGTCTCTGTCTCTGTCTTTCTCTATATATATATGTATATATATGCGATTGCTGAGAGACAGAGAGAAAGAGAGTCAGAAAGAGAGAGAGATAAAGACACAGACACACAGAGAGACTGGATCTGTAATTTCATTGGCCTAGGAAATTCCCAGGTAAGGACCTTCCATCCTTCCATACACCAAGAATATTACCTTTTCTGAAAGTTATAGTCACATGGAGTTGCCTAGAGTACTGAGAATTAAGTACCTTGCCCACAGTTATCAGGCAGTCTGAGTCAGGACTCAGGACTTATTAGACTCAGCTCTTCCTGGCTTTCAGTATAGCTCTCTGTTCACTAGGAAAACCCTCTCCTCTCTCTCTCTCTCTCTCTCTCTCTTTTTCTCTCTCATTTTTTTTGGTTGCTGTGTTTGTAGATTTGAAAACTTTGTTATGCTGAGGCATGTAGACAGTTTTCAGAAAGATATAAATATTAATCCCAAGTCAGGAAACTCTGCTAGTCTGAAATAGTTCATTGTTCCTTGTTCTTTAAAAAGATTTCTTTAATTTCTACTTGGAACATGGACAGGAAAGCAGAATTGCTTTTGTGCTTACAAAACCTCATCATTATATAGGAAGTCTTAAAAGTCTTAGTGCAGTTTTAAGTTTTAATAACTTTAAGCTGCACTCAGAGCTTTGGGACACCGTATCTGTATTTGTTGTCTACCCTAATAAAATATAAGATCCTTGAGAGTAGGAATCATTTCATTCCTCTATTTGTATCTTCCATGCCTGAAACACATACAACTGTGTTCTGTGTCCTCTTTTTTTCTTAGCTGCTGTAGGAAATAATGTTATCATGTGATTCAGAAGATCCATATTCTCTGGTGGACCTAGTGAGTTTACTGAGTAATAGACAATCAGTCCTCTTCCCCATGGTTGCTTAGGTCCTTTCCCTAACTGCAGTTATAGGTAAATTCATTTATTACCAAAGTATTCTTAGCAAAGAAAAAAACATATATCTTTAGGAAATAGAAACCTGTACTTAAAAAGTCTACTACTCCTATAATGACCACTACTGCTACCACCACTACTGCCACTACTATTACTATCATAGAGAACCACATGTGCTGTACAGAAAGTATCCTTAGAAAAAGGAAATAAGAAAACCCCTTGCTTCTTCGGCCCCAGAGACTGGAAAACTGAGACATGTTCTCTTCTCCTACAAGGTCCCTGGGGATATGAGCATTTAAGCACTTGGATTGAATTCTAGACTAGGCAGGGACAAAATGGTGTATGTCTAAATTAAATGCTCTTCATTGACTGACTTCCCCCTTCTCTGCTCTTAGTGAAGCATGGCTTACCTCCAGAACATCCTTAATGGAATCCTTAAATGCACTACAGCTTGAACAGTTCTCATTACCTTTCCTTGTGCTCCCCAATTGGGCCCTAACTCACCCTAGAAATACATCTTCATCATCATACTTCTCCTAAGAGAGCTGAGAGGAAGGGGAGTGCCTTCTGCTGACATAATAGAAATTTGTAGATTAAGAAAGGGCACATTATTGGGAAGTAAAGTATTGTGGGGAGATCATAGAGAAGAAGGAGGAGACCATGGAAAAAAAGTGATTTGTGCATACTTTTAGCAAAGCAAAGCAAACACAATATTTGTTCTCTCTCTCTCTCTCTCTCTCTCTCTCTCTCTCTCTCTCTCTCTGTCTCCACACACACACACACACACACACACACATGCATATTTTTATTAAGCCTATGTCAACATCTGTATATTTCTTGTCTTCCTAATAGAATGTAAGCTCCCTGCAAAAGAGATAATTTCATTCATTGTATTTGTGCCCAGGACCTGGCACAGTGTCTGCCTCATTGTAGAAACTTGATAGATGCTTGTTGTTGATTGAATTTGTAATAAAGCTTCCCTGTATACCATGGACTATAATATTCATCCAACTAATTGGAAGAATATCTCAATATTTCACAACTCATAGAGTCAGTAATATTTTTTTTTTGTCTAATGGAAACTTCTCCTTCAATCTGAGTGAATTTTTCACAGTTCCCCACAATACCTTTTACATAATAGGTACAAGGTAAATAGAGGTGAATGAATGAATGTTGATGAATGACTACATGATGTGGAGAAAAGCAACAACCAATTGTAGGCACAATAATGATGGGATATACTTATGGAGTGTTTTCCACAAATGGGCAAGTGTTCCATTCCATGGGTTATTACTCTATTGAGCAATCCCTACTCAGTCTCAGAATTACAAAATGTTCATTGATTGCAATGTGGGTGCCCAAAGATGGAAAAGGATGTGTACTGACTTTTTGGCTTTCACATTAAGAGCATTCTACTGAGGGTAGCAAAATTATAGCTTATGATACAATGTCCTTTTTTTTGTAGTGGGAGTGAGTGACTTTACACTGCTTTTCTAATAGGGATTCATGTTTTAGTTAATTTATGCTATTTTTTTCTAAAAATTGAAACTATATATTTTTTTCACAAAACTTTAAACAAATTCATTAACAAGACAATACATTTAAAAAAAGCCTAATTCCTCTATTCTGTTTTGAATGAGGGTTTTTCAGATAGCGTGAATGAATGTGAAAAGAGTGTGTGTGTGTGTGTGTGTGTGTGTGTGTGTGTGTGGGTGTGTGTTGTTTAGAAATAGGCTAAAGAGTCAGTTAGATTGGGATCATTCCTTAAAACTCCTAAATCCACATTCACCTTGGGTTAGAAACCAAGCCTTGGTTTGGTTTACTCAGTACCAGTTTTACCATGCTATCTGCGTTGAATCTATCATTGTTGTAAACTCAGGCTGTGGATTGTGGGAGAACAGGCTTTTTCATAAGATTTCTTGGCATACTACACTCTGCGTCCAGCCAGAAATACTAGAAAAACAGCTTTACTGGGAGCACTTTGGTTACAAACTGGGAGCAAACATGGATTCAAACATTGTTGCCCACCCAAAAAACATTGGTTTGAGTTCAGTCAAGAGAGAATGCTTAGAATGGTACTGAAAGGTTTTTTTTTTTCTTTTTCTGTGGCCCTTCTTTGGGATCATGAGAGATTCAATATGTTGTAATTTTGAAACCTAAGCCACAGATGCCACAGTCAAATAGGCTTTTTTTTTTGAAAGGATACCTTTGGTCCCTGAAGACCACAAGTATTCTGTTTTCTAGTAAAACAGTCTGCCCTTCTTCTCTGCCAGACGCAAGTCTGGCCCAAATCCTGCATTATGGAAAAGGGTGGGATTTGCTTTCTGTTTTGATTTTGAGCAAAATGGTATAGTTGAAAGAGCATTGGATTTGGAATAAGAGGATCTGGGTTCAAATCCCACCTCAGTCACTTCTGAGCAATGTGACCCTTGGCAAATCATTTAACATCTGTAGTTTTCATCTGTAAAATGAGGGGTTAGGACCAGGTGGTTTCTAATGTCCTTCCCTATCTAAATCTATGATCCTGAGATCCTATATATGCTCATGGTCTTTCTCTCCTTTTTTTCCTTTTCTTTCTCAAGGTTGAAAAAAATGATGATGCTGACCAAAAGATTGAACAAGATGGCATCAAACCCGAAGATAAAGCTCATAAGGCAGCCACCAAAATCCAGGCCAGCTTCCGTGGACACATAACAAGGAAAAAGCTCAAGGGGGAAAAGAAGGGAGATGCCCGAGCTGCTGAGGCTGATGCAAATGATAAGAAGGAAGAAGCTGCTGCCACCGCCGATGCAGTGGAGAAAAAAGAAGGTGACGGCCCTGCAGCTACGGAAGCTGCCCCAGCTGCTGGTGCTAAGCCAGAAGAGGCCAGCAAAGCTGGGGAGACTCCTTCAGAGGAGAAGGAAGCCAGCTCCCAGGCTGCTGCTTCTGAGCAGCCAGCCTCCAAGGCCACTGCCCCATCAGAGGAGAAGCCGGCCTCTGCTGAAACAGAAAGTGCCACTAAAGCTTCCACTGACAACTTGCCGTCCTCCAAGGCCGAAGATGCCCCTGCCAAGGAGGAACCTAAACAAGCCGATGTGCCTGCTGCTGTCCCCACTGCTGCTGCCACCACTCCTGCTGCAGAGGATGCTGCTGCCAAGGCAACAGCCCAGCCTCAACCCGAAGCAGCAGAAAGCAGCAAAACCGAAGAGAAGACAGGTGAGTAGTGGCTAAAGACCAGTCTTGGAGGAGGACCGTCCAAGCTTTCCTACTCTGAGAGAAGGGGCAGCAAGGGGGGAGGACTGAGTGGTGGGAAGGAGAAAGGAGATCTGTAGACCAGGAAGGGGCATGATTCACATCTCTCCAAGTTGTCAGGATTCAATTAGGCTCATACAATCCTCAAAGGCCCTGTGGACACTCAGGCTGAGTCTGCACAGCACAAAGTGAAGAGGAATTCTGGCAATTATCTTTTTAATTTGATTAATGTAAAGAGCTAAACTAGATAATTTAGGTCAAAAGTTCACTTTGTTCTAGGTAGACAGAGCCTAATAGGTAATTACTCAGACTGTGCTTATTTTTCTGTGTGACGATCAGCTAGTATGTTCATTTGGCTCCAAGAAGTACCTATTACAAATACCGTCAACTACCTATTAGCCACGGGCAGATTATCTACTTTATGAACTGTCTCCAGAAAAAAACATAATCCCAGATTGGCTCCCTCCCACAACTCAGAGTGTTTCTGGGCTGTCTCTCCCCTGCCAGCCATTATTGTATGCTTAGGTAGTGTTAATTTTAGTGTTTGTTTAAATAAAACATAATCAGGTAAGTGCAGTTGCTGCCACAGCAGCAAAGACTTATACAGTGCACCCTGAAGCCCAAACATGGATGAGATTTGAATGATCTGTACCAAGGCTCCTCTCCATCAACATGGGTAATTGGGAATTGACCATGAAGATATAATTGTCAACTCACAAGACTTGATGTATGAAGGTAAAAAGGTACTTCTATTTGGGGCTACTCCCTGAAAAGCTGAGATTGTCCCTTGATCCTTTAAAATTTCCAACAGATCAAAGCTGAATGAGCTCACTTTTGACCAGTAGAGGCCACTGTGATTTTGACCTATTCTCTAGGATATAGGTCTAGGCTACTGGGTCAAAATGCCTACTCTGTTCCAGAGTGGCCCACATAAGTGTGGGTCTTCTCTGGAAGATCTGGTCTTCTCTGGAAGAATAACTCTAGAATATTAGGTTACTTTTAGGGTTTTTTCTTTTATTCTCTCAATGCCATCACTTCCCCTATTTTTCCTGGTTTCTTTCATGGCTACATCCCCATGGGCGGGTGAAGATTTCTCCTCCTTTGCTCCTGTTCCCTGAAAACAGCATTTCCTTCGATAGATTTTAAGAGAAATACACAAAGTGGGAAGGGACAATATAAACAGGTAGAGGAGGTAAAGGTTTTTTAAAAAAAAGAAGGACTTACCCTAGAACCACATACCAACTATGGGGAACTAGCCATAGACTCATTCTTCTTCCTTCCTGATTAGTGTCCTTCAGCCAGGTCTTATCCTTGATATCAACTCAATGCTGACTCTCCTGCTGTGGTTTTAGCTGGCAAAGCTTTTAGTTACTCAGCCTCCTGCAATCTGTTTCTGCAACACACAGTAACAGAAGGGGGAACCTATAACCTGGACCAGGCCTTCTTCTTCTGTAGTCCCACCCTTCCTTTCAGCTGTGTGGGCTCTTTTGGTTATATGCTACAGAAAAATAACAACGATCTTAAGAAGTTGGAACCAAGAAGTCAATCAACAAACATTTATTAGATGCTGATCATATCGCCGGCATTGTGATAGGTACTGGGGATATAGGGTAGGAAAGGTAGTCTTTGACAAGTTTACTTTCTACCATGTCATAACATAGAACAAGCACATTCTACAAAACAAGGGTAAGATTCATCAAATTATACGAAAATGTCTACAACCTATAAGAATAAGACTTAGATTAAAAAATAGATAAAATGTATTGGTGATGTAGGGGATGAATTTCAGCTTTTTCAGCTGAAAAATGAGGCAGATGAACTAGGTGACCTCTAAGGACCTTTCAAGCCTAACATTCTCTGGTTCTGTGGATATAAGAATGAAATTCAAAATGAGAGTGGTCCATTAGTCATGAAGAACTATTTTACTATAACTATTCCTCAGCTTTGGACTGCTGCTATTTTCCTGTAGCATTGACCCTCAGGTTTCTTTGCAGAAGACATATTTGCCTTCTCTCTATTTGACAAGCACAAATTACTCTAAGTTGGTAAGTTTCATGGGATCACAGAAATTAGAGGTGACAAGGAGATCTATGAGAGTACATTGAACCCAAATCTCCAGAGGTTTTGTACAATATTTTTTCACTGCTTTCTATTGAATTTTACTTTAATCCAGGTACAAATGTCCCAGTAAGGAGTCTTCCCTGCTTCTCTAGAGAAATTTTCCCCTTTCCTCTGGACGTACATGTAATATTTAGTATGTTTTAGCAGAAACTGAGTCTAAATTCTGCTTACTGATAATACAATGCAGAATGTTCCCTCCTCCCTGTCACCACATACAACCTAAGGAAAAGAGACAAGTAGTATCACCAAGATTCCTCTGAGCATGAAGTTCCAACTCACAATGTTATCATTCCACTTTCTCAAATTTAGGTGACCTCTTTCGCAAAGGGTGTTCAAAGCATGCTGTCTATATTAACTCCTAGGATTGTATGAATGTTCAAATAGGGCAACAATGTGAAAAACGTGGAGAGGGAAAAAAGAGTGGGACATAGGTAGGGAAAATGGAGAGCTGGGCAAAAAGAAGGAAGGGGAAAAAATAGAAGATAATTCCTTTATAAGTAAGTCAGTATTTTAACTTTACCTTCATTGATTCTTATGGGTTGACAATAAGGTTCTGAGAAGTTTCTCACCATTTAAAAATCTATGTTTTCACTTTTTCATCCCTTTCTGACCCTCTCTCCTTCTCTTTTTCTCTCTCCTCCCCCTCATGTGTAAGGATTCTAGTGAATTTTTATCTATGCCCCCTCTGGATCTCAAAACAATCTGTCTCTTTGAAAAATATTTTTAACCTTTTAGCTATGGGGAGAGAGTTACCAAGATTTTATTGTTTTAATTTGGAAAACTTTTATATATCAATGTTACACTGCTAGTTTCTTTGCTAGAAAGCCAAAAGCAGAGTTTTCTGCCAATTTCCTTTTACCTCAGTAGTCCGTATGACTTCCTCAGGTCCCACCCTCAAGACCTTACAACTATTGCCTTTTTAGAACTCATCTCTTTCTTTTCCTAGAATCCAGTCTAGCAATACTATATGAGGATCCTGTATTGCTAAGGGTAACACTTCCAGCTGGCTACTAGCCATTGTCATTGACTGGATGTTTGCCATGGTTTGCTTGGCGGCTACTACTAAGAAGAGCAACTGTAGGTCACTCAATATTTTTATGGTGTTTATCCGGACTATATTTTTGAATGGTCTTCTCCCCTCTGATAAATTATTATCAACAGAAGGGAAATTTGGGAAGATGAGCCTTCCCTTTTCAATCTCTCATTTGACTAGAATAAGTCTTAATAATCAAGAAGAGACATAAAAGTTATGATTCCTGGGATTCAGGTAAAATAAATAAAATTCCTATCAGCTTTCAAATACTCAACATTAAATGAAGCATATGCTACAAAATGAAATTAACTGGCTCCATGAAAACACAGTGTTAGGTAAAATTTGAAAGCCTTAAGAACTCTGATCAATGTAATGACCAATGATAAAACACTCTACCCAACTCTTAAAAAAAAGTTGAGGGTTCAGAATTACATATATAGATACATATGTATGTATGTATACACGCACACACACACTCACTCACACACACACACAAACATATATATGACATGGTCAATGTTGGAAATATTTTTGTTTGACTAATTATATTTATTTCAAGGATTTTCTTTTTCTTTTCAGTATTGAGAATAAAATTTAATTAAAAACACTATTAGGTGAACTGTTTCTGGAGTATTTCTGAGATTCTATAGAAATAATTTTTGTAAAGATTATTTGTGCTTGCTTAGCAATTTAGCACTGGGGCAAGGTTTTCTGACTTTCTGGTGTAATTAATGATGATGTATTAATGATTATAGGACCATAGGTTTAGTGTTGGAAGGGATACAATGAGCCATCTAGTACAATCTCCTTATTTGATAACTGTGTCTCTAAGTCTGGGCATTTTTAGGTGGATTATGTTTGTGTCCATTATATCATCTGAGATTAGGGAGAGGCAGTATTGCATAATAGATAGAATGCCAAATATGGAATTAGTAAGGCTAATTTTTGAATCCTACCTCTGACCTTATGTGACTTTGCACAAATCAATTAACCACTGAACCTTAGCTTCTATATCTATAAATGAGGGGGGAGGTGCTAGATGGCCTCTGTGCCTCCTTAAAACCCTAAATCTATGATCCTGTGATTCTTATTCTTCTAGACCATTGTTTTCTAATTTGCTTGCTTTTTAATTTTAAATGCCTCATGAAATCCATCACTTCCATTCTTCAGCCTCCCCAGTGATATGTACATTATAAAATAGTTTCCAGCAAGCTTGGTCTAATCTTATGTCTAAGATTTGATATTTCCCCAAGATATTTACATTTGCGTAGCAGGGTGCCTCATAAGCAATTCTGATTTGGACTTTAGTTTTTTTTTTTTTAAAGCTATTTCCCAGATTTACATACAGTCCATTAAAAGGGGGAAATTCGGGAGGCCTATGAAAACCTATAAATGCTGTTTATAAAAGATGGGCACCTGTCAGATTCTCAGCAGAATGCTTTCTAAATACTATTTATTATTAAACTTTTATGTTGTAATTTTTATATTGCTAGAATAATCATTTTTATTGGCCCCTCTCGACAATAACCCAGTGGTTTCTGATAATATTATTCTTTGCATTTTATAGTCAAAGAAATTAGGACAAAGTGAAGCAACATTCTTCTCATAAATATACAAACAAGGGGCTTTACTTCAACACTACCTACCCCTTCAGAAAACTTTTCTTGTTCCCTCCTCAATTCTAAATTTTCCCTTTGATCATCTTATCAGTAGCTGAATCAGCACCGTCTACCTAACAATCAGGACAAAGTTAAGTCCTCATTTTTCCTCTCTGTGCCCAGCAAAGGTGATATTGCTTTTCTTCCAGAGG